TCTGTGGCGAGAAGAAAGACTCACTGCGCTGTTGATGTTTCAGCTCAGATCTTTGATTTAGTCTTCACTTCACTATGATGTGTTTAGACGACCACGTTTGAGACTTCTGCAGTGATCAGTAACTTTGCAGTGTATGGGTCACAGACATTTGAGTAAAACAGAGAACCCTGTCTCTGAATCGTAAATATCGTGTGCATGCTATAAAGTAAATATCCAGCCCATTCATAATGACGCTTTCTTACATCAGCATGAATCTCTTCACTATAATTTAGCTAAAATAATATTTAGCTCTTCCACTCTTGTTTACCGGTACATTAAGTGACTTATCCTGTTACGCACACTAAAAACAAAACAATGCATCAATCCTAATTTAAGGTTAGCTAATGTTTTAAGACTCTTTTTAAGAGTTTGTATTGAAGGTTTTAATTAAAGCCAGTCTGTCGATTTTTACAGGATAGCTCGATCTGGTTAGACAAACAAGTTGCCAGAAATTGGAAAACAAAACAAAAACATAAACTTAGAGTGATGTACTTAAGAGTCAAATCTTAGAGAATACTTAGACTAAGTTAAAGAGTTTATTTAATCATTTTAGTTTTCATTTTTGAGCACTGCTGGGAAAAAGACTTTGAGCATCAGAGTCCAGAAACTGGCCTGAAACACCTCCTCAGGGTGCTGCAGTATAAATGGACCGGGACTCTTTAAGATTCCTATATTTAGCTGTTAACTGTGGGATGATTCTGAGACTAACACAGAAAAATTCATCAGAATGTATTAACTGTTTTTCATTTAACTTATATAAAAAGTAAAACCTCTTATTGGACGATAAATTCTAGAAGAACTGGTGCGTATCCTCGTGAGAACCTCGTGAGATTCTAGTCGCTGAGGAAAAAAGTATCTTCCAGATTAACTTTTTTGTGATTTCCTGCCTTTTTTGGAGCTAAACAAGATCACCAAAACACATGAAATATCACTGGAAAGGCCACAATGTCCTCTTTTTAGCACATCAGTACTTAGTGGGGTTGCTCAAATGACTCAAAAGATAGAGACCAAAAAGAAATGTCCATTAGATAAGACATAAGTGAACAGGCTGAGTCTCAGGAGGGTGGAAACAACATTTCCTCCACCCCTGTGACAGTGCCGCTAACTGTGCTCTTTATCTGCTCTGGGAACCTGTTTAATGCTCGACACTCCAACAGCCTCACTGTTCATGGCTTAACTGGGACACAATTTTCCCATCGCATCTCATTGGAATCAGGACAATAACCCCGTCCACTCGAGACAACAGGAGAGAGCTGTTTGACCGGTTTATTGGTGTCAGGTTTACTCTGTGAACACGTGTCAAAAGGACGCACAAAGACGTGGCCTCGTTGTGAAAACATTAAAGTGATGGAACAACAGAACAGCGGAGGTCATCAGAGCTGTGAACTAGTCGCTGTAAGATCGTAGTGAGAGCTTTTATAAACCACTTTGCAAAATAAATGAACATTTGTTGAGGTTTAATGTTCTAAACATGGAAAACAGGATTTCTCGGTTTATCCACTGAAGGGCTGTTTTTCATTTGGTACATTATCTCATCTGATGACACCAAACCAAAAGTCTTTCAGAATCAGTAAATCTAAACTGGTGTAACTCAGGTAAGTGACGTGAACACAGTAAGGTTTCTGGGCTGATGGCAAAATACAGAACAGTGACAAATTAAATAAAAACCAGTGAAACGTGCGAGGGAAGCTCGCTGCCTCCTGCTTCATCCTGTGAAGGAACGCTTCCCTCTGCTGTTTCAGGGCCTAGCAGGGCGTCGGGATGACGATGACATTCATCGCTAGCTCTGGCCTTCACAGTCACATGATCTCAACCCAGCTGACCACAGGTGGGAGATTTTGGTTCAGCACTTTACTTTTCCTTTAATTTGTCACTCACCTGTATTGGATGGTTCAAGTAACAGAACAGGATTCAAATGTTGTAACTTCACATTTCAAACTACCAAACACAGCAGAAGTGGGATGCACTGACACGTATCCACTCTAATAACTCATACTGAGCCCTCTGGGTTCCCTCCAGGCCTTCAGTAAAGTAAAGTAACCTTCTAGTAATGGTCTAACTCTTCTTCTTGTGTATCTGTATTGATACAGATGTTTTCTGGTAACATCTCAGGAAACAGGACATCAGGTCAGTCGCTTCTTCTCCACATAAACGTGAGGTTTAGGTTACGTTTGCACGCTTGTAGGAGCAGGAAGGGAGGAGGTAAGGAGGAAACATCTGTAATTCTACTTGTGCATCAATCCATTTATGATCTCCCACCAATCCAAAGTTGTGTCCAACTAGCAGCAGGCTGCCCAGGCCAGGTGTTCTTAGACCAAATGAGCTATATAACGTCTCCAAGAAGGTCTAGGTCTAGGCCAGGCTCTCATCCCAGTTGGGTGTGTCCTGAAATCGGCCAAAAGGAGGTGCCCAGGACAGATTCTACCTGGATGCCCAAACCATCTCAACTGCCTCCTTTAAAAAGGTCCCCACCACATTTCTAAGCCACCCGATGCAAGTAACTCATCTCAGCCACTTGAATTTGTGAGTGGTCCGAAGGCAGATGGAGATCTTCACCTTTATGTTGTCAGAGACACATTTTATCGCTGGCCTTGTTTCATAATATGAGAGAATATGACGGTCATCTATCTTTACTGTCTAACTGCTCACCTGCCTGCTCCATCCTTCATGTATATTTATTTTTAATATTACTTATCTAGAGGCATTAGCGGGTATTCTCTTAAAATCTCAAGTTTGATTACTTTGACATTTACCGAGCACACTCACACAGAGTGAACCTTTCTGAGTTTTTATCCTGCAGATACGTCAGTGCATCCCAGCGCAACTACGTTTTTAATTGTACACACACACGTAAATATACAGCAACACACATCTTTCGTAGTATTGATTGTAACTGATGGCAGTCACCAGTCAGCCAAACACATCTGCAGACTTGTTGTCAACAGAAAAAGGCACGACTGGTATAAAGCAGAAATATCAGCCCTTGAAACTGATCTCAGGAGCTCCGCTGTGCTGCAGGCTCAGATCAGATCAGGAACCAGTAGCCGTGGCTCAATATGTCAGATAAAACGTCCCCGTTTATTTCAAGTGAAACCTGCGATGTTTGAAGTCGAGACGTCACCACAGCTGCAAACATCTGCTGTTCAGCTTTAGCCCTGCAGCTGCTTTAGTGCTGATTCATCGTTGTTTGCTTCACTTTGGTCCAGAGCAAAAATAGACTATATTGCCAAAAGTGTTCACTCGCCCATCCAAATCATTGAATTCAGGCGTTGCATCACTTCCATGAGCACAGGCGTGTACAGCCAAGCATTAGTGAGAGGATGAGTCGCTCTCAGGAGCTCGGTGAATTTCACCGTGGTACCGTGATAGGATGCCACCTGTGCAACAAGACCAGGCATGAAATATCCTCACTACTAAATATTCCACAGTCAGCTGTTAGTGGTTTTATAAAATAAAATAAACAAACGTGGACGTGAGTGAGAAAGAGAGCGACTCAGCTACAAAGAGGTAGACCGACCTGAAATCACAGGTCAGCGGATGCAGAGCTGCATAGTGAGCAGAGGTTGATCGCTGCAGACCTCCAAACTTCATGTGACCTTTAGATTAACTCAAGAACAGAGTCGAGAGAATAGGTTTCCATGGCAACCAAACCTTACATCACCAAGTGCAACGCAAAGGGTCAGATGCAGCGTGTAAAGCATCTAGAGCAGCAGAGATGTGTTCTCTGAAGTGATGAATCAAACTTCTCCATCTGGCAATCTGATGGACGGGTCTGGGTTTGGTGGTTGCCAGGACAACAGTACTTCTCTCACTGTATTGTGCCAAGTGTAAAGTTTGGTGGAGCGGGCATTATGGTGTGGCTGAGCTTGGCCCTCAGTTCCAATGGAAGGAATTCTTCATGCTTCAGCACACCAAGACATTTTGGACGTTTTCATGTTCCCAACGTTGTGGGAACAGTTTGGGGATGGCTCCTTCCTGTTCCAACGTGACTGCACACCAGTGCACAAAGCAAGGTCCATAAAGACATGAATGAGTCAGTTTGGTGTGGAAGAGCTTGACTGGCCTGCAGAGTCCTGACCTCAACCTGATAAGAGACGTTTGGGGTGAAGAGCCGAGTCTGTGAGTCGGGCCTTCTCATCCAACATCAGTGTCTGACCTCACAAAGGTGCTTGTGGATGAATGGTCAAAGGAAGGAAGAAGAGCAAATACTTTTGGCAATATAGTGCATCTCAGCAGCTTCTTGGTGCATTTCTAAGCTCCCTGAGGTTGAATGGTGACGACCAGCAGCCTCATTTGACCCAAAAAAAGTCTCAGCTACACATTAAATAACCTGATCTAATGAGCTTAAACGAGCCTTCATGCTTCCCTGAGCAGGAACCAGTTTAATGACCTTGACCTTGACTCACAGTGTACTCGAAGTAAATATAATAACAAGTTTTCACACCGAATGAACCTTTGCAGCAAGAAATGAAGGACAAGCTTCATGTTGTCGTTTGTGCACAGTTAAATCGTGTGATTTACCACTGCTTTATATAAAGATGCAAAATAAGGGAGAGGGTCTGAAGAAAAGTGAGCAGGACTGCAGGACTTTTACCTTTGGTTGCTCCAAAAAGACTAAAAATGCCTGAAAAAGGACGGACGTTTACCCTGAGGCTGACCAAAACTGACTAAAGAGTTCTGGGTACCAGCTGGAGTACTGCATTAATGTGTAGCTTTAGAAGATTCTCCTGTAGCTGGGAGAGCCTTTAAATTGGTACGCAAACAACATCATATTTTCATAAATCCTAAAAACGTTCATCGCCATAAAAGAATCAATAAACTTCCTTGACAGACTCCTGCCTGTCAATCAATGCCCTTAATTTAAAAACTCGCCTTCAAAATCCACATCAGTCAAACCTCGTGACAGACAGTGAAAGTATTCAGTGATTTTGCTTTCCTTCACTCCTCAGCTCTCATCGTGCTGGTTTAAGTGGAGGTAACGAGCTCTCGATCTTTCCTCCACGGCTCAACAACCTGAATGACTGAAGCAGCATCCTCTTCCACTCCTTCCTCCTCGCTTTAGTTTTCCCGTTGGGTCTTTTGCTTCTTCCGGGCCAGCCGGGCCTCACGCATCTCCTCCAGAGTTTTACGTGGGTCCATGATGAACGCGAAAGCCACACCGGCCGTGCCATCGCCGTTCTGCCGAGAGAAGCACAGGAAGGTGGCCCAGAGGAAGGCGCAGCAGCCCATGAAGGCAGTCCGCATGTACAACGGCATCAGGACGAAGTTGAGGAACTAGAAAGTAGAAGCAGAGAAGAGGACCATCATGGAAAAGGGTCTTCTGAGAGGTTTTCCTGTCAGTGGGGTGCACACTGTGATTCTGAATCTACACACTTCATGTGAAAAACAACATTTACCAGTAAATAATATCAGACAGCACAGCAGCAAAATCTCTGATTTTTAGTTCCACTCCTCTGAGATTTTTCTTTTTTCTGACTTTAAACAAATAAAAATGAAAACAGGCTCACCTGCATGAATGGCCAGTACATGAGTCCAGTCTGAAAGAGAAAACAAGACACGGTCAGAGTTTCCATCTCCATGCACACCTCAGAGGATCCCAGGGAGAGGTCAGGGGTGAGTGTAGAGCTGAGGTGAAGGTTGTGATTGGGATGCTTCCGTTCATTAAAACGTCGCACACAGAGCTGCCAAACTGCACGCAGAAACATCTGTAGCTTTACTATTTAAAACATTAATCTCTATCAGGTCACCGTGGATCCTTCTAAGGTTAGAAAAGAGGACGTATCTCACTCGCAGCTTCAATCCACTCACTTAACGCAGCTTGAAATGGAGAGTCAGCAGCAACGCCTGCACAACTGCACTTCAATTAGTGTGTGCAAATTATTATGCTCCTCAGAGTATAATTTACACAAAGGTGATAAAGCAGAAAAGATCTGAGTAAGACAGAGATAGAAGGGAGCCACGCCAATCTCAGAAAAACAGTGAAGCATGGCCATCAAACATGGTTCAAGCTCAGCACTGAAGCTAAAGACTGGGTTAGATGTATTACATGAAGGAGAAGTTAGGTTTAGGTGTGCGTTACAAGTTAACAGATGGGGAAGTGCAGCAGCAGCATCCTCCTCTGTCACACTGATCCTCTGCATCTCCCCCTTCACTACATCCATCAACCTCCTCTGAGGTCTTCTTCTTCTCCTCCTGCCTGGCAGCTCCATCATACTTTGTCCTCTCACCTCTGCACATACTCCACCACCTCAGCCTCTCGAACTCTGAGCTGTCCCTCTGATGGACTGATTTCTAATGGTGCTCACTTTTGTTGTTTAGTGTGTGTGTGTGTGTGTGTGTGCGTGCGTGTGTGTGTTTATCTGAGGATGGATGACTCACGACTGCAAGTACAAATAAAGTAACCCGAAGCTGTTTTACTGTAATCACAGCAACATGACAGTATGAGTCACACTTGGCAGGACGTCAGCTCCTGAACGTCCTGAAACCCACTGACATTTTTATCCTCTGGCTGAATTACCCCGCGTGCTCTCCTCCGGGCGCCGAGCCCACTGCGCAAAAGCAGAAGTGCCGGTGGCGTAATCTAGGTTAATCCGGTTGTGAGCTGGCAGCGGCAGAAGCTACCGTGCGCGAAGCTCGTTTCGCGCAGCTGCTGAAGCGCTTCTCACCTTCCAGGTGTTGAAGAACTTCTCCCTCCAGTCCTCAAGGACGTCCTCCTTTCCCTCCAAGAAGCTCACCCCTGCGAAACAGAGAGCAGGTTTAAGGCACGGCTTGGGACGTGCGTCTTTACGCACAAATTTAAAAAACTATGGAACAAGACTTCACCTTGAACACTTTAGTATTTGACTGAGAGACAACCTTGACCGGAAACCACTTCACCTTCACACTCATTTAAGATG